TTAATTAAAATTATTAAACTTATACATTTTCACATCAATTTATTAAAAGTTTAACAAAAATTACATGTTTAGGGTCCTATGAAATTTATAATTTTTCTCACCATGTGTTTGATCAAATTCTGTGTTTTAGCATGTCTATTTATTTGAATGCATAAAAACAACTTAATTTATTCAAATTTATTCTTAAATTAACCTTATGAAATGTTTTTTCCCCCCTCAGAAATTCTGGATTGTGTATTTAAATTTTTCCTGGTTATCATATATCAAGGCATAAAACATTAATTTAATTTATCTTTAGTAGTAGTAGTAGTAGTAGTAGTAGTAGGCTATGTACATTCTACTGAAAAACAGTAATACGCAGTCTTCAAATCGGGTTGCCATGAATACCTTTACAGTTCTGTATATGATATGACTCTAGTTTTACTCAAATCAAACGGTCAAATGCTCATGAAGTGACTCTTGGAGCAGTTCTGGGGATGTTGTTCATGTGTTTACGTCCTCATTTAGTGAGACGGCAGATGCTGAAATCACCGCAGTAAATGAAACCGCGCGTCTGCGCCATTCATTAACAGAGACACGCAGAACATGCAGGATTCATATTTAAATCGACTTTTGTGGCTTAATATTTACAAATACTAGTCCATATCGCGATTCAGAGTCTTACGAATGTACTGCAAATGCTCTGAAGGACACTGAAGGCGAACAGAAATAAGATATACAGCTCACTGCTTGCAGCGCGTCAGTCAGGCTCATCTGGAAAGTGAGTGAAACACACACAAACACACATTTTTATCAAATAATACATCATTAATGCACTTCCGCGATTTGGTACGATTGCGTTCACATCAGCAGCGAACCGTACTGGAGTTCACATGAACCGTACCCCAGACTAGGGGTGCTCCGATCAGGGTTTTTGAGGCAGATCACCGATCGCTGATCATAGAAAGCAGTATCTGCTGATACCGACCACCGATACCGATCTTTTTAAAGCCTTCTTTTATCATTCATAACTATTTATATTGATACTCCAATCAGGATTTTTAGACATTTATTCAGGGCCTGAATTTCATTTTTGAAAATGGGGGGAATTCCCCTCTTAGGTGACTCTTGTGAGAGGGGAAGCAGCACAGACTGTGCTTTCACACAGGAGTCCTGGAGTGGCTGTTGACCACAAACACAACATTTATCCATTAGTTTGATTTCAAATCCAAA